GACTTTTTCCTTCAAAGATAGAATGAGAAAGCACAGTTGTCATTTAAATTGCCTCTGTCTTTTGTAGTAGTTGGTAGCGTTGTTGACCAGGGTTGGATAATTTAAAAGCTGTTTAACAAAATAACATGCTTGTCTGTGTGAAATATATACAGTGCTGAGAGACAGGAGAAAAGTCTCCCTTGACAGAGTTCATGGGATTCTTTAGAAACTGCAGGATGCTGAGACTTGTCTGAGGAATTACAAAAGCTTTGAGGCGCCCATGTTGAGCATTTGCATGATTTTCAGATGGCAAAGTGTGTTCAGCTGTCTTCGTGCACCCTCCCGTGTGTGCATGTATGCACTTCAGTGGAGAGGGAGAGGATTCTCAGTGCAGTTTTCATTGGGCTTTGCATTTGTTAAACATATATTATTGAAATGCTGCCCAGGACACATCACTTCGTCTCGTGTAGAACTTAAATCATCGTGTTGTATGATATGGTAAAATAAAAGAGATTGTGAAAGAGACAACTGTAAACATTCTGTTTGAAAAGATGTGCTCTTTTCAAAGGACCTTTCTGTTACAGCCAAATAACACAAGAAGCAATATTTCCTTGCTCACAGAGACACATATAGCTATTTCTGCAGAGATTTGGTTTGGATTCTCAGTTCTTCCAGTATCTTCATTCTTTGAAATAATTTTATACTTCCATGTTGACTTTCTCTGTGCTTTAAGTTTTAATCAAAGGTTCCTTGCTTCTGATGTCGAGTACTGATGTTAGCCTGTTTACATTCCACTGTTTTTCCTCTGTATTCGATGAACATTCAAATGTGGTGGTGCCGTTTTGCTTTTATCTACCAAACTTAGCGCACTCTCTTAGTATTGACAGCTCAAAAAGATTGTGTGCTAGTGGGCAGGATGCTGTGAATTATTAACTTTTCTTTGCACTTTGACAAATTTAGGTTATCTCTGTAAAGAGAAATCGTTTTTCTGAAGGAACCAAGACAGTGGAATGGTAAATAAGGCTTTGCAAACTTTAATTAAAATTTTTTAGCCAGATTTGAATTTACCACATTTCTGAAACATGATTCCGAATTACAGTTCTTGTACAGGACTTGTACTTCTCATTTTATAGACTAAAATACCAGAGGAGAAATTTTGATAGTGGTTTTTCCTTTCAGTTTGTCTTTCTTATATGGATTGATCAATAAAGAATTAAAGAATGTATATTGCCACTAAACACCCCCCTCTACCTTTTTTTCTTAGAAATGCGATTTCACAAAAGCAGTTTATTTGCTCCTTTCAATAAAGAACCTGCACTCACCTAATTTGTGAGCAGATGAAATGTGCAGGAAACATATGTTTGCCAGGAAGCTTTTCTATAATCAAAATGGTCAGCAGGACAGAAACAATGTTTTTTTTCTCATTAGGTGTTAATCTTCTTCCATTAAAAAGAAAAAATAAATTAAAAATTGGCATACAACAGTGATTAATATACACAAGCATGAGTGAATCAGAGACAGCATATGTTGCATTAGGTAATAGACGCTTATTTGAGTTAATGTTTAGGTTGTGCTGGAAGTCCCAGCCCAGGCACCAGAAAGGCCTTTGCAATCGGGGAGCATTTTGGGCAGCAGACAGCAGGAGCGGTGTCATCCAGGGCACAGTTTGCCTCGAAGCAATTAGCAGGAAGAGGAGGAATGTTGATTTCAGCTGCCGGAGGACAGCCAAACAAAGTGGGTTTGTTCGAGGTTCGGTAAGGCAAGCAGCAGGTTTAAGAAAATACAGTGTTGGGAATACTCATGTGGAAGTGCATTGGAGATACAAAGTTACTGGTGACAACAGTAATTATTGACAGAGCCACATACTTACGTCTAAAATACTCTGGAATGATGCTGAAGCATTCAGATGCCGGTTGTTCACACTTCCATCCCGTGGCAGTGCATCTGTTTATCAGGAATTATCTCCTGAATGTAAATGAATTTCAGTCCTAAGTCACTGCACCTGTTGCCAAGAGGTATTTATTCCAATCACTTGCCTAAAGCGCAGGGAGTTATTGCTTGACGTTTTATAGCTCCAAAAAAAAACCTGTCGTTTCAAAATCATTTGTTCAGAGAGGAGAAAATGGAGCAAAACAGTTCATTTTACCCTAAGCACTGCTATTTGGCAGTATTCACATTTGCACGGCACAAAGCTGCAATATTGATTTTTCGCTTACAGGGCCTCCCACAAGTTCTTTCTTCGATTGTCAGGATTGCAAGATGGATTGAATTACACTTTGCTTGTTGATATACTTATTTTTTCTTTGGTGATAGGAAAAAAATTACAAATAAAGCTTCAGCATAAAGATCATAGCAGATCTGCTAGTGGACTTTGAATTTATTTATTTTATTTAGTTAAAATTCTTTCTGCACCACAGAGATTCCTTAGAGCAGCATTCCCACCTAACACACACTGCATTGTTTTGCTTTATTGCTTGCTGCTTTTGCAATGTAACACCTACGTAGCAATCTCACGTGTGTCCTCTGTTGCTTGCAAAGTGATCTAACCTTGCTCTAATATTTTTAATGTTTATCCTGATACAGAACTTGCAGATACCTGCAGGGGGAAAAACTGCAGGATAAAACACATTCAGAGTCATTATAGCAGTTGCCATAGATGAAGAAGTAAGATTTGCAGGCTGCTGATTTCTCTGTAGCATAACTGCCGAAGTCTTGTGTTTGAATTCAGAGTGTTTCCTAGCAGAAGTGGAGCTTGTGCTGCAGGATCCACAGTAAGGGTCAGTGCTGGTTCCAGGGAGCTGTGTGTGGCTTTGTCAGCCCTGGCCCCGTAACTATCCTGAGCTGCTGCTGCACATGAAGCCACTGACACATCAGCAGCTGTACCCTCCTGCCCTGGTGCAAACACCTCTTTGGACAGCTGTAGGTGCTGTTCCCCTTCTTGCTGATGGAAATTCAAAAGGTTTGGGAGGGGTGGACTCCCCAGCCAGGCCATGGTGGTGCTGCAGGCCATGGAATCCCGGCTGAGTGCAGGAGATACAGGCACCATTGCTGCCAGCTGGAGGGATGAGCTTCCTGGGGATGGCATTAGATTGACAGGAGTAGTAGGATGTAGGAATGGCAGTGACTAGCAGCGTTATATTTGGTCCCACCATGGCTGTTGTGGTGGTAATTGACCAAAGGAGTTGCTGTATTCACGTGTGGTGGGGACTCTGCGTGTACCCCTCCCTGTGCCCATTTCACACCCTCCCCGAGCTGTGAGTGACTTCTGTCTTCATTGTTTTAATTTGCTGCACGGGAGGAACGTGCAAGGTATGAATGTGATGGATTTGTGTTTTAGCTCTTTCCAGCTCTCAGCCCATGACACCTCAGCAAGCCTATAGTCATAGTGTTTGTTACTGCTCGTGGTATGTGCAGCAACACTGAGGGCCAGGAGTGAATCTCAGGTGGAACTTGATGCTTTCCACAGCACTGACTCCTTCCCTGATTAACAAATACTGAAGCATACTGGCTGAGTAACAGTACTGGTTTCCTGTAGGATATGGTTCCACAAAATATAAAGGCAGACCTGGCCACTGGGCTCTGGCCACTGGCTCTGGCCAACTGTTCTCCTTGTGGCTGGGCAAGTTCATGCCAGGGAGCCACATCCTCATACTAGTGTGATCATTATAAAAAACTTTTGCTGTCTAAACAGATAATCATCTGCATATAGTAGGAGTTTTAATATACAGAATTCAATAGAAAAAGTTATAGCCTCTGGTTCATGGGAAATTTTACTATCAAGGGGTTATCTCAAGTTGTTCTTGATTTTTTTAGGTGCTTGCTTCCTTGCTTCTTCCAGTGCATCATATTTTTTAAGAAAAGTTTATCTTCTTCACTTTCAAAAAGCCAGAGAGCTCCAGCTATCCATACTTAGCAGCTATTTCTCTTTGCTGTCACAACAGTCTCCAACAGTCTGCACAGAAATATTAATGGCCTTGTGTTACTGTATTATGAAGGCATTTAAAAAAAATAGGAAGTTCTGCTGAAAATTTAGGATTTGCTATTTTAAAGAAATAGGTTTTTAACACCACCATATTGCCCAGCTTGTTTTCCAAAAGTCACACAATTTTGTAAGAAACAGAAATACTGTTTAATAATAATCCATCAGTAACTGTGCACAAGAAACCATAGTATGCAGATAGTCTTATTCTGATGTATTTTAGTAAAAAAAAGTATTTTATACTGCTTCATTTGAGAAGTTACTTATTTTTAGGAATTCTGTTAAGCAGAAAAAACCATGTTAAAAATTAAAATTAAACCTATAATTTTTGTGAGAGATGGGGAGATTTTATGCAGTACACATGTGATTTTTGGTAGTGCTAATGTCTGTATTTGTTTCAAAATCCTATCTGTATGTAGTTAAATTAATGTAAAAGACACAGTAACGAGCAGTGGAGTTTAACTAGGTGAAGTGTCAGCATGTATATTTGGATCATGACAATGCTGAGGTCACAAAATAGTTAAGCAAAAGTAACCAGCTCTCCCTGGAGAAAGGGAGAGACAAAGTAAAAAGACTAATGAAGTTGGAAGTTGGAACTACAGCTTTGGGCTTTTTTGTGGTTTTATTGTTTTCTTTTTTAAAATCACTTCTGCAAATCCTGCCTGCTCTGCTGATTCCTGCTTCCCGACACAGCCTGTCTGACTGTGCCCAAGGTCTGGAGACAGAAGCAGAGAGAAAAGAGGTGGAAACTGGAACGTGCAGTGTAGCCATGCAGACAGGCACCACTGTCTGCCCTGCCCAGGATTGGAAGCAGTGAAAAGGAATTTCCTCTTTTCCCAGATTAAGGACCCAGCAGCCGTGGTGTAAGGGATGTGACAGTTCCATGAAAGATGCCTCACTTAACATGGTACCAGGTCAAACCTGGTAAAGGTGCACTTCCTTTAGCACACGAGAATTGGTGTTTATGTGGCAGAAAAGGAACAGTCCAGTTCAGCGTGTCTTTTAGGCTCAAGCCCATTTTGTCCTTGTTTTTTTTCCCAAGGTTTCAGCCGAGCAGCACTACCGTTTGGTTTGGTGAGGAGGGAGCTCTCGTGCGAAGGCTACTCCATCGACCTGCGGTGTCCAGGCAGCGATGTCATCATGATAGAAAGTGCCAACTACGGACGGACAGACGACAAGATCTGTGATGCTGACCCTTTCCAGATGGAGAACACAGAATGCTTCCTTCCAGACGCCTACAAAATTATGACACAAAGGTAAAAATATACAAATTGTGGTGAGGACTAATGAGGAAAAATGTCTGCATTAATACAGAGAGAGGTGTATGCTGTAAGAAATGTTGAGTTGTGCTTGCCACTTTGGTATTCAGGTAGTATTTTTCCTATCTAATAATATTTAAAGGAAATAGAATCTACCAGTTGCAATTAAAGGCTTTGGGGTTTTTTAATTCTGAAAACAAACATTAAAAAGCAGAAAGACAACTTCAAGGAGAACGAAACAATTCAGTTACTTGGAGATTCCCTATCTCCTTGTCTTTCAGGGGGTCAGATAGCCCTGAGAATTTTTCCAAATGGCTGCTGTATTTTTCAGTAAATGCAGTAAATCCCTGCCATAGTTCTTAATAGTTGTTCCCTCCAATGGAAAATGTCAGAATGATTGCATGCCAGGAGGATTATATGTCATTTTACATGTGTGTACGAGCATACATGTGCATATAAGTACAAGACAGCGCTTGACATTCAGAGCAGACAGAAGGACCAACCAAGAATCGTAAAGTCATTTAGGTTGAAAAATACTTTTAAGTTCATTGAAACCAACCATTAGCCTTGTGCTGCCAATTCCACCTCTAAATCATGTCCCTAACTGCCAATAAAAGTATTTTTATTACAAAAGGTGCATGAGAGCTCAGATTCACAGAAAGTCCTGCTCTAAAGGCTGTGTGTGGACAGCAGTCACCTACTACTGACAGTTGTGGAAATGTCAGCACAAATAAGTCACTGGCATTGCTACTGGCTTAAACTAAAAGCCTGAATGAGTTCAGGATTGGTTGGAAGTTTTCCTCCCAGTGCCTTTTTCCTAGGGTGAGGAATCTGAACAAAAAGGGGGATGGGCATAACCTGGAAGCTTTCTGGTGCCTGTACACAGATGTGTCAAATGAAATATGCAAGTTGTCCTGCCTTCTGTGCTCCATTTCCTCTGTTCCATTTGAACATGGTAACACTTAGCCTTCCATTTTGATTTACTGATTCACTTAAGTTGTCATGAGTGGGACTCTTTCAATTTTTTATAATTTTTATACGAATATGCAGATGTTTTTTACTTCTGTAGTCAAATATTTGGGCTGGATCTCAGACTTCAATTTCAGATGCTGGAGGTAAATTGAGGATATCAGGTCTTTTATTTCTTGTTCTTGTGTTGAACCTGTGGCTTGTTTTGTGATCAGTAAGGGAAAGGCTCCATCGCTACACTGTTAAAAAGGTAATATAACTTCTTTAAATCATGTTTGAATTATCTTCTTGTGGTTCGACCTGGTAGTTGTTAATTAGATCAAGCCAGATTTCCATCGAGACTGCAGCAGCAGTGTCATCATCCTCTAATCTGTCAACTCCCTTTGAAACCACCTTCAATTGCTTTTGTAAATGTAGTGCCGCTCTGTAGACTTCCTTGTTGTGTAAAATGCATGTTGTGTTTTGATCAAAGTCTTCCTTATGTTCACTGCAAATATACAGATTAGGGTAGTCAGAGACAAATATAGAGGCACAATCTTGCTGAAGTGACATCAGACTGTTACTGAAAAGCTGAAATTTCAATCTTTCCCTTTCAGTTAATCAGCTGTAAAAATACAATAGCAAAGTGTATTTTTGAACTTCCCCCATCTTCTACTCTTATGCTTTGTTCAACATTAAAATAAAATTGTGATCACATGTAGGACATTGGTTCAGATTATCTATGCTCAAAGAGTTTTTAGGTTTTTTTCTCTTTTTTTTTTTTTTTTGTCTGAACAAATGGCAAAGATCATTTGACACTTTGCTTTCTATTTTTGTCTGACATTTATAGCAATTTGGAAGTTTGCTTTCAGAGTTTTAATGCTTAGATCCTGTCATTAAGTAGAAAAGATGTCTCTTGTCTTGCTTAACTTTTTCCAAAATTGCTCAGTTTTGGAATGTGCTATATTGCAAGCATAGAAGAATGTTGCAAACTTCTTATAAAATATTAAAAGTTCTTATATCTCATTTATTTATAACTGCATTGGTGATTGAAATTTTCTGTTGTCTCAGGCAAATTGTTGTTTGGTACTCAGCACATGTCCTTGATCTGATATATAAAAGTAACACATCAGCTGTATTTTGATGGCAGCAATTGCATAGAAAAATCTAACCTGAAGGACTATCAGGTTCATTGGTTGTCCTTTTTATTTAATTGGTTGGAGCTTTTGATGACAGTGAAATCTTGTCTACCTTTAGAAATAAACAGCAATAGTTTCTATATTTCTACTTAAAATCCTGCAGTGTTTCCTTTTAAGGACCTGTTTTTATCACTTCAGTCAACTGTGTTACCACTGCATTTGGGCACTCAATTCGGTTTAGAGATACAGTTAAATGTGGTTCTGCAGCAATTATTAAGTGCTCATTATTCATTTGCAACATTAATCCACAGCTTTTGCACAGCAACTACATTTTCTGCAATTACGAGGTGAAAACACTAGCTTAATGAGATCAATACTGTGAAATCTGAAGATTGAAAAATAAGATGAGGTTTCCAGTTTAACACAAAGCCGTGTAATCATGTGCTCTGCTCCCTTTCCAGAGAATTTGAGATAGTAGCACACGGACCTTGCCAGTGTCCACTGATGCATCAGCTCCTCTTTCTCAGAATGAGCTGCTACTTAATCTTTTCTACCTCACCCTATTCTTTCTTTTCAGCAGTTCTCAAAAGATTTTTAACTTAATGCGTTCCTAGGAAGCCTGACTAGAACACTAATGACTTCATTGCTTTGCTTTTACCTCTGTAAAGTAGTTATTAAATTTTTAGTCCCTGATTGAAATTGCATCCCAATTATTCCAGAATAAAGTCTTTCAGATGTATTTAGATTCTATGTAAACTTCAGACTGGCACGGTTGAAATTAAAGCTTTGAAGAAAGAGAGTAGACCTTTAGAAAATCCTTCTCCTCTTTCACACTTCTCTGATAATTAACCCCAGCGTTTGCATACCATCATGTTTGAGAGATTCTACCACATGCTGCAGTTCAGTGCAGCAATAAGCTAATTTCTGGAATATTTGGTGAGCAAGTAGCATAAGTGAGTGGCAGAGGACCCATGTTTCACTCACGTTTTAGATCTTAAAATAGTCCAACTCCTCTGTGCTCTGCTGTCCTTTAGCAGGGACAAATCTCCTCTGTTTCCTTTTCATTTAAAAAGAAATTAAATGAACAGGGAAGCAGAAGATGCAAAGCAGCCTGAGGAAATTGCTCTAGTTGCTTGCTCATAAAGTGCATTTTTGTGGCTGTAGCAGAAACTGTCATGAAACTTTGAAGTTGATAAGGCTAATACTGCTTTTTATAGGTGCAGCAGAGATTTGAAAATTAACAGCATAAAATTTACTTATGACCTCGTATTATCCATTTCTGTGGCAAGCAGATTGCAGGTGGATCTTGTGAGTTCTGTTCAAACCGCCTGGGTGTTTAATTTTCTGTCTCCAGTGTCTCCCATGGTCGGACCATAGGTAAAAGAATAACAGATATTTAATAGATATTTCTAAATATGTACTTAAAATGTATTTCAAATCAAAAGTCTCTTATGTATGTAATTTTATAGTGGAATAATAAGATGCTAGGATGGATTCTTGCATGCTGGGACTATTCCTTTTGAATTACAATTAGGGGTTGTTTAGTAGGAATCATTTTTCCTAGTCCTAAATTTTTTGTTTAGGAGAAGTTCTGGGTTATTTGTTGTCATGACTGGATAATGATCTTTGTGATTCCAGGACAGTGCAATTAGATTTTTTTTTAATTGACTATGTATTTAAATATATACTTGGACGGTGTGGCAGATAATAATTTGGAATTATATAATTTTAAATCTTGATAAAGCCCATATTTAAAAAATGGTGGGTCTGTTCCAATCTGTACACCTTATTTTTTAAGTAATTGTAGTTATTAATATTGTTGGGGTTAGTAGAAAATTAGTATTTTGTATTTAAAGAAAATGAAGCCTATTCACTCAGAATCTGTGGAATCATTCACATAGATGAAAAATTCAAACATTTACTTTTGACAGCCAAATTAATATTAAGTTCAGAAGGAAAACACTTTTTCCCTTGTAATACAGGCTAAAATACCTTGAATTTTTAAATAGGAACTGTATGTTCTCTGATCTGATACCAAGAGTATTGTAAACACTGAAAAGAAGAAAATTCAAAATGTTTAGACTTCTTTTGCAGACCATGTAAACATCTGCTTTAAAAAAAAGTAGTCTCACCTTGGGATATTCAGTTTATTTTGGATCTAATTTTTGATCTGCAACAAAAAGGCAGTTACATCAGTTTTGCACTGAAATAGCCTTTAAATTCTGTTTTCACCTACAATTTGTACTATAACTGTGGCTTTTGTGTACTTTACATCTTTACTAAGCATATTTAATCAGTATAATTTTGCTTTCTAAATGTGCACAAACAAGGCAAACCTCATTTTCCATAGGTAAGCTTAAACATAAAAATATGTCAGGTATAATAGATGAACTTAGGCAACTGTCATTTTTTTTAGATATTCTTCCCTTTTAAAACATTGCTGCAGAAAAGTAAAAGGATTGAAAGAGGAATAAATCCTCTTCAGCAGTGTTTGTTTTTCCTGTTGCATCTATCCTTTCCTATCTATAGCACAAGCAACACATGTACCTTCAATTACCATGTCCTTCATGACACCAGTGAGGAGTTCACGCCTGGGTTTTTGTTGCCATGGACTTTTCTCCCATGGCAATGCTCGTAACCTGTTATGTCCATCATCCCTCTGCGAGACAGCTGCACTCCAGCAGAAGGTTTTCACAGCGTGAGCGGCGCACCCCTGCCCTGCTGAGTGACCAAAGGCAAAGCTGAAGGAAGCAACACATCCATTCCTTCTCCCAGGATTTACTTTTTCTTAATGCGTCCCCTGGGAGATCGGAAGACTGGAGGTGTTCATTCTTTTCCATCTATTCACACGTCCAAGAAATAGGTCATTTTGAAAACTCCTATATATAAAGGAGTGAGACATTTTTGAAA